AGGCACTTGAAATATTGGCATAGGTGATAAGAAATGACTCAAATGACAATATGATAGTTCTTTCATAAGAAAGGTGCTTCCAATGATTTGCTTTCAAATGAAAAATACGGGATAACCTAATCCAGTTATCAGCTGATCTATCATCACAAACAACCCTTGTGGTCAATCACAAGAACTGAGTAACTTTGTTATTTTAAGATTTAATTAGCTCTCCATCCGCTTTACTAGTTTATTCTTGAGAACAATAAATTTCACTTTAAAAAGTAGAAATGTGTTGCCACTCCAGAAATAAGTGACATTCACCCATAAGAAGCCCCTCACCCACTACTAAATAATGAATTTTCACTTTTCATATTTAATATTTATGTTGAAAATGGTTTACATATTTCTATAATTTTGATTCATTTTGCATTAATTACTTAATACTTATTAATTACTTAATACTTGCATTAATTCAGAAAATATACCAGAAGCTATTAGAGTATGTAAAACTAAACCTAAAACTTCCATTTAAAGTTGTCCTTTTTTTTTTTTTTTTTTTGACATCTGGGATTGAACTCAGGAGCTCACGCTTGCCAGGCAGGCATTGTGCCGCTGAGTTGCATCTCTGATCCATAAAGTTGTATTTCTTAGAGAGAAGCATGATAAGCTGATCTGATTTCAGGCTTAACAATTCATTAGAATAAAATTAGAATGTGATAGAATAAAATGTTAAATTCAAAACAAAGAAAAAAATAGAAAATTTCTTTTTGTTTGTATTTTTTTCTTTTTATTGAGTTTATTGGTGGAATCTAGGTATGCAATACAGTTACATTCATTATTGGGATCCTGTACCTTTACATAATAGGACTTGATTCTCAATTTTTCCCATTGTCCCTGCCCTCCCTTCACCCCCTCCTCCCCTCCCCATTTAGAAACACTTTATTTCCATTTTTTCAATTTCTAATCTTCTTTTCTCTCCCTAATTCCTTTACCCCACACTTCCCACTTTAGAAAATTTATATTGAATACTTTGTTCCTCTTTTCTCATATGAGTGATAGATGATGCTGAGAATCAAATAGGTACATTGACTAGAAACATTTAAAAAATAATATCACTATTTGACTTCAAATGTTAAAGTTTAGAATAGTGAAAATTGCATCCCTTACTATTAAATTCATGGTGAAAAATGTTCAATATTAGTTTATGAGTGAAAATTTTACTTTATTTTTCAAATTACTTTAAGAAAATTTGGAGCCCACTAACATAGTTTGTTCTTATTCCCCATTGGGATCACAACAGTGTTTCATTTTTAACTTTGGTGTATTATTATCATTATTGTGATTGTGAGTGTTTATAAGGTTATTCTACTTCGTCCATTTACTCCTAAAATACTTATATAAAAGTTATTTTATATATTATATATATTCTTATATTTATATATAAATAAGGTATATAATGTATATTTCATATATTTATTTTATATAAAAGTGATTTTAAATTAGAAATCATTAGGGAAGAAAAACTGGGATAGGTGGACCCTTTATTTTATTGCCTTTCTTAGTAACTCAAGTAATCCAAGATAGTATTCTTGAATAAAATGTTTCTTTACAAATGGTTATTTGTGGCACAAGAGGAAAGTGAAAATACAGAAAAGGAAAAAAAAATTTACACTACATCATTGCTAATGCTGGAATCAGTGGCCTATAGTGGAGTTTGCTTCTGGAGGAACATAATTTTTCCATTTAGGGAATTCCTGAGGCCAGAATTTAAACATCTGCTTTGAGGGATGGGCCTGTTCCTGCTCAAATTCATGTTTTTATAGTCTTCTTGCAGGAGAAGAGAAAGGTGTGCTGCATGCTGATTGAAAGGGCAATAAAAAACATAGGATTTGGCTTTATTCCTACAAAGTATAGGGCATGGCTTCCTTGGCAAGTCAGACTGTTGAAAACTGTGCAGCCTAAGAGTAAGACTCCCTCCAAAGTTGCTAGGAGTTCTCTGGCAAGAGTTTCAAGACTTCAATGAGTCATTCAAACTCGGGCTAGCATGCCAGGTGGTTAGGAGGAATTCAAGCCAATGGAAAATGTGCCTGGACTGCTTCAAGATTTAAAGCTGAAAGTATAGGGGGTTGAATGACAGTTTCTGTAAGAAAATCTGGGGTAGTGGCCAGAAATAGGAGGAAAAAATACACAGAATAACTTACATGTAGTAGGATTGTTATTTCTACTGCATACCCCTAGTAATCCAAATCCATGTGCTCAACTAAACACAGACAAACTTTGATAGTCTTCCTAGTGTACCCTGTGTAGCCAGAAACATGGTGGATTTAATCTGGATCTGCAAATTCTGGTGGGAAGATCTAACGATTTAGTACCATGTGAAATATGTGTGAACAATTATCAATATCTGTGAGCAATTACCACTCCTTTACCCTCTCACAAGTCCAAATTATTGCAGCATAGCACATACCTTAAGTACGCACAGACTCTGACATTTAGGAGGGTCAAAACTGCTGAGGTGGCCCTGGAATAATGAGGTTAAAGGTAGAAAATTGAGTGCAAGAGAACTGTTTCGTGGCCTCCTGAACTGAAGTGGCTGTGCACACTGTATCTCTGTCGTGTGTACTGAAGACCTCTCACAAGCAAATATGACAATGTGTGCTCCGTTGGCTGTCATCACTGTAAGGACTAAAGAAGGTGCTTAGAGAGAGTCACTGCTTCCTCCTTATGGCAGTGAAAGGGAGCCCTCCCATGTAGCAATACCTTGGAGAGAAAGTGGGTCATCTCATTGAGGAAAAAAAAAACAGTGACTTTATGAAGACTTTCACTTGTTATTATAAACATCACTGTATTAAATTCCCAGGTGGAAGGTAGTGTATACTTTTATGTGCATTACTTATGAATGGAAATTGAGTGTGATATTAATCTTAATTGTCAACTTTATTGAATTCAGAAATGTCTTCAGGATAGTAAAGCACATATCTAGTGTGTCTCTGAGACAATTGGATCATGAGCACTCTAACTTCATCAGTGGATCAATGCACTGGTGAGATCATAATTCGGTGGCACTATTGGGAGGTAGTGGGGACTTCTGAAGTGGACCTAGTTGAAGGGAGTCTATCATGAGGATGTGACCCTAAGGACTGTATCTGATCCCTGGTGTCTTTCTCTAAAGTTACCTCCTTTGCTCTGCCTCCTGCCTGCTGTAGGGCGAGGAGCTTTTCTCTGCCCTTCTGCTATGATGATCCTGCCTTGGCCTTGGCCAATCATGGACTAAAACCTTTGAAGCCATGAACTAATATCTTTTAAGTTGTACCAACAGAAAGCTGACCAATACACTGAGGTCCTCCATTCCTTCTGCTTTGGTCATTTATACCATCTTTTTGGAGAGCCCTGAGGTTGTCAAGATTCTTGCACTGAAATCTGCCATGAAGAGATTTTCTTGCCACTTCAACTTTTTTATTTGACTCTCCTGAGATCTGAAAACTTGTGATTTTAACTTCATTGATTTCAACCATCTTCTATGCCTTCAAGCTAACCCTGTATAGCTGCATTTGAAAAAGATAATCAAGAAAAAGTCTTTCATTCCTCACCTATAATGTGATTTGTTTTTCCTACTTTATAATAACAACACATGTACCACAGGCAGATGTTTCCTCTACAGAGTGTGATCTTGATGTGAGAGGCATACTGTTCCATTACAGGCACAGCTGACCCATTCTGGCACAAGCAGCCCAAGAAGTTGCTGGTGCTGACTCTCAGCCACTTCTTCTCAGCTAAGACTCTGTGGTTGAATATAGGCCCTAGCTTTCCAACTTCTGGTACATTAGACAGCAGGGAGCTAGGGCTAGGGAAACTCTTGAGTTCTTTCCACAAGATTAAATGTGCTTACACTTACATTCATTTATCAGTTAAGCAATATTTATTAAGCTACTACTAAGAGAGCACAGTAATTAAGACGCATGAGGGCTGGGGATTTGGCTCAGTGGTTCTGCTGCCTGCCTTGCAAGCACAAGGACCCGAGTTCGATCACCGGTACAAAAAAAAAAAAGCATGAATTTCGTACTCTGGCTGCCAGGATTTTAATGCACCTCTGTCACTTAGAAGGAGCTCTGCAATCTTGGCAAGTTTTTAACTCCTTCAAGCCCCAGTTTATTCTTTTACTGTAAAGGAGGAATAGTGATAGTACCTACTTTGTAGAAGTTCATGAGGATCAAGTGCGATGATGTTGTAGAAATGTCTATAAAATCAGCCCACAGTAATAACTTGCCACTGTTTTATTAGGCAAACTGGGTTTGCTAGGCTGTGATCAGCAGACGTTAACTTGCTTTCTTCTACCCTTTTTAATCCCATCAAGCCAACCCCATAATGTTCCCTGTCACTCTCAGATAATAAAAATACTTTGATCAATTTTGGTGCCAGTAAGAGTCTCCCTCCAGCAATTCAAATGTCTAGTCTTGTACAGTAATCAAATCTGAGCACTCTACTTAATTTAAGCTTCTCCTCACCCAGCTTGCCTCTGGCCAGGAGGCCCAAGTATGAGAAAGAAGAGTAGCTGGTGTTCTCTCACACATCAAGCTGTTTCCTACTCATTCTTTAGCTCCAACTACAGACTTTTCCAAGATTAAGGGGAAAGGAGAGTACAGGAAAGGGCACTGTTGTATAGCAGGAATAACCAGGATTGTACCCTAAGGCTCCCTTGCTAGGAAAATGTCCAAAACTAAGGCTTAGCTGCCGCAGGCACTGTCCTTTTTGGGTTTGGCAGTCTGTGTTGGATGACAACACTTCATACCCACCCCCATTCATGAAGGCCACTGTCCAGCTCTCCCAGTGCTTCTCCTGCAGTCTTTCTGCCTTGTTTGGAGGTGAGCAGAAGGCCTGTCCCATAAGGTAGGAAGTGGCCCTGGTCCTGAACACAAATGTAGTCAGGTCCAGGGAAAAGAGACATCAGTGAGCTGACTCTCACTTTCAGTGGGTTTTGCTAATTTTGCTGCCTGCCATTACTCTTCCCCTTCTTCTAGTGCCCTGGTTGGTGCTCAGTGAGATCTTTCCGGGTGGAATTAGAGGACGAGCCATGGCTCTAACCTCTAGCATGAACTGGGGCATCAATCTCCTCATCTCACTCACATTTTTGACAGTAACAGGTAAGAGCTCTTTATTTTCTTCTCATGTCTTTTGTTCCCTTAGGCAAATGTTTGGGAACCGTGTTCTTGTAAAGAACACTATTGTGAAAACTTCCAATGGCAGTGAACCTGGCGTATCTATCACCCAACCTAAGCAATTCTCCATCTTAAAACCCCGCCTGCTCTTCCTTCAACCAAATCATTTTGAGTTATGTACCCTACATGTGGTCATATATGTCTAAAATTTCAACGTGGACCTTGTACGAGATAAAACATTTTAAACAATAAAATCACTATATAATTATTATACGAAAAATATTAATTATCTCATAGTATACAAAATGTCTGTTCACGTTTTACTGATTGTTTCATAATTACTTTTTAAAACCTTTGATTGAACCATGATCCATATACTTAATTTACAATTAATTGATGGGTCTTATTATTTGTTGATTTCAACTCCATTTCCCCTACCCTTCATTCTACCTAATACTTTTGATTAAAAAATCTGGGTAGGGCTGGGGATTTATTTAGCTCAGTGGTTCCAGAGCCTGCCTTGCAAGCACAAGGACCCGAGTTCAATCCCCAGTACCAAAAACAAAACAACCTGGGTCTTTTGTTTTGTAGAATTTTGTACAATCTGGGTTTTGTTGATTGTACTCATGTCACATGCCTGCCCTTTGTATCCCCTGCGAGTTCCTGTCCAGATCTAGATAGGCTTGGGGAAGTTCAGATTTTTCTGAGCTCAGTGGGTGACAGTGGTGTGTTCTGCTGCCATCAAGAGGGGCATTGGGTGTGGTTGTCTCCCACTTCACCCTGTTGGGCTCTTTTGATGATCAGGACCCAGACCCACTGTGTTCATTCTATATTTCCTTCCAAGGTCTCATCCAGACTGTGAATTTGGCTACTCTGAAGTAGCCTAAGAATGGCAAGATAAATGCTTGTAATTTCATTTTCTTTTGGTTCTCAAAACAATGAGGTGATTCCCTAGACTCCTCCAAAACTGTTCAATGAGTTGGGTTTTATTCATTTCATAAAATTGTATGATTATTTAAAGGCCACACAACATGAGTATAATAAAAAATCCAGACTGGAAAATTTTATGAAACAAATGGCCTAGTTCCATTATGTACATATATTCCTTATGTTTATATTTATCTTTATTAAATTTATTGGAACTTTTTAGGTTTACAGTGCAGTTACATTCATCATTGGGATCTTGTATCTTTACATGAAGTATCTTAGTTCTCATTTTTTCCCCATGCCCCTGCCCTCCCTTCACCCCCTCCACCCTTCTCTATTTACAAACACTTTGTTTCCATTTTTTCCTTTTCACATATTTTTTCTTTTCCTTTTTTATCTTTCCCCATCCCTCCCACTTCCTCGATATGTATGTGTATTATTTTCAAAAGCAGGTGGTTATCCAATGTATAAGTATATACATAAATATATACACATATGCATGCATATATTTAGTATGTCACTTTGGGAATTAACTTTTCAAATTGCTAAGTAAGTGTAGTTTGGGTTTTTATATAAAATTTTCAAATGCCACGGTTTTAGAAATAGCCCAAGACTGAAGGAAACAACCAAACTGGTTATCAACTTTGACTACAGTTCTCCTACTCCCATCGCATAATAAACATGTGCCCTTTATGTTTACACATGCGTGCACACACACACACATACACAAGTGCACATACCCTTAATCTGCTGTTTGGTTCGGAGAAAGCAAAATATATAAGAATGAAATGAGGAATGAAAAAAAGATGACACAAATATTTGGGAAACCTTGCTAATAAACCAGATGAGCTAATGAAGACTTGGAAGTTCTCCTGCATGGGCTTTTGGAGCAAATGTTAGGAAAACAGATCCAATTTTAAAAAACAGCCTGGGATGATCTAAAGCCTTTAGATGACATTTGATTGGCATGTTTAAATATCTCTACTTATTTTCAAAACTCAATTTTCTAAAGATGAGAGAGGCCTAGAAGATGTGAGATCCTACTTGGCGACAAGCCCTTGGATATCAACGTTTTAATGAAATTTCATCTGAAATAATAAAAGCAGACTGTTCCAGACAGACAAATGTATGCTGCAGTGGGTGGCCATGACACAGCTGCAGTGTTGCATTCATCTGTGGGTAAAAAAAAAAAAATGTTTTTTTGAGGGTCTCACTACATAGTTGAGACTGCCCTGAAACTCACTATGTAACCCAGGCTGGTCTCAAACTCACAGCAATCCTCCTGCCTCAGCCTCCCGAGTGCTGGGATTACAGACGTGTACCACCACACCCGGCATGGTAAAATATTTTTAGAATATTGTTTAAAACTTGCCTTGTGTCCACCCGGATGAGGAGAGCATGTCAGCTCTCCTCTATAAAGAATGGTGGAGGAAGTTGATCCAGAGGACTCTCAAGAAAAGGAAGGAGATGCATTCAAATATAAAGAGTGGCTGTCATGAAGAAGGGGCGGGGAGAGATGACTCAGTGTGTGCCACGCAGGGAACAGCCCCGAATGTCTGAAAGGCTGATTTGGGTTCATGGTACTGGGCAGTGAAGAGCTTTGTGAAGTTCTGAGGTTTCTGTTACTCAAAGTGCTTCAAACCGAACTGGGGACAAATTTGACAAGAAAACTTTTGGGGTTTATTCAATGCCTATATTCAAGTCTTATGCTCCAGCGAGGGAAGAAGGAGCAATTCTACGAGCACTTGATGAAGAATCATCCAGATAAAACCTTGTACCAGCATAAGAGAAGCACAGAGGAAGGGGTTGGTTAAGACTGCTGGAAGAACGGCAGTGCTCTTTCTTCTTCCTGCTCCTCCCCATCTCAGTACAACTCCCTGACAAGGGGTCACTATGCTTAGATCCTTATACACTGCCAGTTAGACATTGCTCAGGCAGTTTTCTTGCCTGACCAACGGTGATCTATGGCTGCAGCTATCAAGGGCTGTTTTCCAATCTGTGTACAGTTGTTCTGAGCATGTGTGCAGAAAGAACCAGCTACTTTCACCCTGCTCCCTGTCACACTAGTCTCTGCTGCTGAGCCAGGACCCTGCACAATGCAGAAGGCAGACTCAATTGCTTTGGGGCACATCTCATCAGCTAATGCAGTGTGATTGTGGCCAGTGACTATGAAGGGACGTATCTCTGGCTGGAAGCGGTCAAGTGAAAAACTAGGCTGGCAAGTGAAATCCGTCACAGTCTTGAGGCTCTTGCATCTTGCTGATGCATCCTGGCAGATTGATGCCTTTCACTGGATCAATCGTCACTCTTTTCTCTGGACTCAGAAAGAAGAACTAAAATGCACTGCTATACTATTAAAAGTGATGAAATATTGCCGTCACAAATCAGTTTATTCACATCAGAGCAAGAAGGCTGAGCTCAATCCAAGGAAAATCCGTTTGTACAAAATATGTCAAGAAAAACATCCACCAAATAGAAACCAAGCTGCTATAGTGACATTTCCAAAATGGAAACTGTGGAGGGTGAGAAATACTACCTTGTGAAGTATTATATATTTCTATTATTTCAGGTTCTGTTTTTGCACTGATCATGTGCTTTTTTATATTAATAGAGGCACATTACCATTTTAAGAAAGACGTGCCTACCAAGAAAATGACATTGGATTTAAACTGCGATAGTTATAAGATTGCTATTTATTTAATCTGAGAAAGTTGAAGTAGTAAAACAAAACTCCCAGGGCTAGGTACACATTTAATGTGTGAATCCTCTTTTCCTAGACACACTGGCATGTGTGAAAATAGGTATGGCTCTCTACATGCTCTAAGAAGAATTTTTTAGAAGTGAGATCAAGGTAACACACAATACATTTCTAATCATTTTCTTTTGTCCCTTATAGATCTTATTGGCCTGCCGTGGGTATGCTTTATGTATGCATTCATGAGTCTAGCATGTCTGGGTTTTGTTATTATGTTTATACCTGAGACAAAGGGATGCTCTCTGGAACAAATATCAATGGAGCTAGCAAAAGCGTAAGTATTTAAATGAGTTGGTCCTGAACAACAGTTTTTGGTCCAAAATACAAATTTTATATACAAGTAAATCATGTCTGAAATTTCCCCTTGGGGTAAGTATGTCTCAGTACATAATTTCAGGTTCTTTCCCTTGCATTTATGGCTTATTCAGCTAGGGGTGAAGAAACTTACTTTACAACAAACAGGCCTTTTCAAGCCTTATTCAGCAATGATCTCAGAATCTCTCTCCCATTTCTCCAGTTCCCCACAGAGGAGGCTTTCTTTGTTTGAAGTTTTGGAATACAGTGTTCCCCCAGGGCTAAGAGCATGGCTTCAACTCTTCCAGGTCTACAGGTCTTTGAGCCCTAGTTAAAGCTACAATTAGCAGACAAATCCTTGGGTCTACATATCCACAATTGCTTTAAATATGACATATTCAAGATAATGTTAAGAAACATAAAAAAATTCTTACATGAATAAGCATTTAGAATATTAATCAAATAAATTTTACCAGGAGAGATTTTTTTTTTTTAAACAATTTAACTTAAAGTTGGCCATAAGAAACCTTCTTTTAGTAACAGAGCTCATAGCTCTAACTGCCAAAATTGATGGCTGGGAGGGAGAGGTGGCAGGAATGAAGAGGAACTTGTTTTTCTTCTTGGGATTAAACTCTAACACTTGGAAACATAGGGATACTTATTCTTGAATTTTAAAATAATGGGAAGGTTATAATTTTTAAAAAATTTCAAAACACTAGTAAAAAAGGAATAATTACAGAAATTGTGGGCATAGTGCTATAGAACTTTTATCTGAAGGAAATAAAAACTTGATAGGTGAACTGATGTGGATACATTAGTGCATATATATTTATATAGACCAATTCTAATTCTGGTTTATTAGGGGTTGTAGTTAGCAGAATCCTGGAAAATTTTCACTTTGTGTTTTATGCACTTTTAAATGGTTGAAATTTTAAAAATATTTTAGTAAGCAGAAAAACTTCTCTCAGTTCAAACTGTAAGATAAATATCAAAGTGTACAACTAAATGTTGACACAGATGGGGCCCTGTTTTTAAAAAAAAAGAGAAAATGATTCATTTACAATGAAAATTACAATTGTCAAGAACTCTGGTTATACACTTGGCCTGATCAGCACATTGCCTGGCTTTTTGCAAGTTTCTAAATGGTTACATTGTCTTGTAAGCATAGAATCTAAACAAGATTATCAATTACAAATACATGATTCAAACCATTAGTGACCTCAGATCTCAGTACCTCGATCCATCCATCTAGAAATGGGAAACCTAGCTGCCAGATTCAGGCCTTTCCCAGTGCTCAGATGTCAGGACACCAGTGACTTCCAAATCTACCGGTCTCCCTTCATTTCTCACCCTTCCCTATTCTGGTTTCACATGAACTACCTATGCTACATAACAAACCATAACACACGGAGTGCTTCAAATAGTAGTTTACTATTTGGAATGTTTCTATGGGTCGGCTGAGTGGTGTTTTTCTTGTTTCACCTAAACTCACTCATGGGTGACATAGGAAGAATGGTCAGTTGATCTGGAAGGCCCATGATCACATAGGGCTTGATCATGTATGTGGCCGTTTGTGCTGGCTGTCAGTGGAGAACTTCAGTTCTGCTTCACATGGCTTCTTATCCTTCAGGAGTTAGTATGTCTTCCTCATAAACACTGTTCCAAAGGCAGTGAAGGCCAAAGCTACAAAGCCCTTCTCCATTCTGAAATTCACACCTCACTTCTGCTTTCTATTGTCAGTAAATGTCCCAGGCCCAGTTTGAATTAAAGGATTGTAGAAACAGACTTTACCTCTTGATGGGATGAAGGGCAAAGAATTTTTGACCAAATGTAATCTACCATACCTACTTTTTCTTGAAATTCTTTTAGCGCCCATGAGACAATCTTCTTCCTTGGATCTCTATCTCTCTGACTCTTATCTCTTTATTTCTTCCTCTATTCTTACACTAGCACCATCTTCAAAGACTTAGCTCTATATCCTCATCTCTATATCCCCACTAAGGCCTGAGGAACTCCAGGGCTGGAAAGCATTCCTGTCCCTCAGATTTTCAATATTTTCTGGTCTCATTTTCTTCTGTACTTCATTAGCTAGACTCTTATGGTTAAAACTCCTTAGGTGATACAGTTCTGATTTTTAGGAATGTTTCTAACTGGTTTTTCTTAAATAATCCCTACAATGTCTAGTTTCATATTTATTCCTAGAAGATGTCTGAAAAGTATCTGCTGTTTGATATAAGAACTTGTAGATGTAGTCAATGCTAAATTTACTCTGTGTGGGGATTGAATATGAACATGAAAATCCAGCATCCAACATGGTGGACAATAAAATCCACACAGGTTTTGATAAATGGGCCATAGGATGTGATTTACTTTATGCAGTGAAAGGAGGAAAAGGTATGGGTTAAGATAAATGAGACATACTGGCCATAAAATATTACCCCATTGCCCACTACTTCAGTTATTTATTCAACTCTTTATTGATTGTCTACTATGCACCAGGTATTAGACTAAGAAAGAATTGAAAATAAAAAAGACAAATAATCCATACTTGTGGCTTTGTTACTTTAGGAGGTAGACAATAAATCAGGTCATTGCAAATACGGTGCTAGCACAGATGTGTATATATATATATATATATATGATTTTATTATATAAAGGCTTCTTGAAAGATAAAATCAGAGATAA